GCCTCAAAGAGCCATCAGACCACCACAGATGGGGCCCAATAGGGTCGATGCCGATTCGGAGTCGCGGAGAACCTAACGGGTAACCGGGGCTCCGGCTCGACGTGCAGGAGAAGGAACGGGGTGGTTTTTAGTCAGTAAGAGTCTGACACTCCCTTCCGCCTCACCCAGGCGGGAGCAGTCATTTGATGATATTCACCCCTTAAAAAAAAAAAAAAAGACTTGCCACGACTTTGTTATATTTCATTAGGTACTTTTTAGAGATAAACTAGCAGCTCCATCGAGACTTGGCTAGTTTTTCACAGAATGTTTTTGATGGGATTATTTTGACTTTCTAGTCATTCAAACAGTAGTAACACTTTTCTGCTAAACATGTTGCTGTTTAAACATTTATAATCCCGAGGAAAAAACCTTCTTACTACCTACATAAACTGTGCATAAAATAAACTACTTCATTATAGAATATTCTATATTCCGTGCTCACAATAGTTACCTACCTATCATAAAAACGAACTGTTTTGTATTACTTAATTATTTTTATAAGCACATTACTTACCTATTTTAGGCATGTTTGTACTTAGAAACTGTACATAACATTTTACAAACGGTTTTGTCGAATATATTTTGAACACATGCACAGGCAGGCGTTTTAAAAATAGGATAGGTATAAGTGTGTTTGTGATATGTAGGTACATACTTAGTCGATAAAATTTTTAGAACAAAGATTAGTCTTTGTTCTGTGTAATTGTATAGTACCTAAGTAGGTACCTATGTGTGGACACTTTCGTACCTACTTACAACATAGGCATCTATTGTTAAGTACACATGTATAATATATTTATATATTATATATATTAGCTTCCTTCATAAGTGGTTATGCTTACGTAGCCTTTGTTTGTTTCCAAGCGTACGGCCTGTCGCGTTCCGAGCGCGCCATAAAGAGCCATTGGACCACCACGGGTGGGGTGGGGCCACATAGGGCTGATACCGATACGGAGCTGCGGAGAACCTAATGGGTTACCGGGGCTCCGCCTCGAAGTGCAGGAGTAAGAACGGGGTGGTTTTTAGTAAGTAAGAGTCTAACTCTCTCTGACATTCCCTTCCGCCTCACCCAAGCGGGAGAAGTCATTTGATGATTTTCACCCCTTAAAAAAGCCTTTGTATAAGTAATTATGTTTGTGTTCGATAGCCCATTTATCGAAGAAGGCTATAAAAATTACGCTACGATCATTCATTAGGGACCGAACAACACCGAAACCGCGCTGTAAGTAACTAATATAAATAAGTATAAAGTTTTATAAGGTTTAGAGGTTAGGTTAGGTTAGAAATTGGTGCTGCGGATGAATTTGGACTCCCGCGGCCCCGCGCGCACGTGCGAGGAGACACTGGGGTGGTTTTAGCCGGTAAGAGTCCCGCACACTCCTCCGCCTTTCCCCAGGCGGAGGCAGGCCCGTTACGTACACTCCAACCGGAGGCAGTCCATGAGGAATTCGCCCCATTAAAAAAAAAGTTAGAAATTGGTAGGTACAGTAACAATGACACATACTAACAGACGTGTGCGTAATAAAAATTACCTTATAAATTACAATAATCAATGTGATATCGGATGCAGTAATTAGAGTACCTTGATATAAATCTACTCGAAGATAACACATTTTTGCATTGATAAAATGTACTAGATAACAGAGCTACCAACAAACATCGATTAGACTTTCTACATTAACAGTCCGTGGCAGTCCCGAGTCCACTATTGGACCGATGGGCCTTCTCTACAATATGTTTAAGAAGAGTTTACTTTCAATAGGGTAGACGACTAATTTTTATTTTAATGTCCGTCTGGTAGATTATTTTAAATCATTACACACGTATTTTTTATTTTCTTACAGAAACGAATACTTTCCACGATATATGATTTGAAATGTCGTGTGACGTCACTTTTATGTACATTTTATACGTAGAAATGACGTTTTACCCCCCACTCCTAAACTTTGATTCCTTTTATCTAAGTATTGTTTTATTAATAAAAAAATACGTGTCTAATATTTTTTAAATACCTAACTTACGGACTAATTAGATTTTTAATTTTCATACCCTGTCGTCATCCCAATTGGCAGGCGGGTAACGGATCGGAGTGGAGATCGCAAGTAAAAAAGATTTTCATTACAGAGATTTGCTGCCCCGTTTCTGTCAAATGGGTACCTGACCTAGTAGGTACATTAGACAGCAAAGAAAGAAAGTAAAAAAAACATACAGCAATAAATAGGTAGGTAGGTAGGTACTATTTAGAAACATAGTTTTTAATTCAAACCTACCCATTTGCAATTTGTAGATACCTTCTTATCGCAAATAAATACATATTATTATCTATTTATTGCCAGGGAATATTTTAGACTATCCTAACCCAAAGTACCATTCACCGGTACAATTTACAGAATATGCCGAATATGAATAGGTACCGTAACATATATATATATATATTTTGCACTGGACTTTTTTAGAAAATGCTCTATATGACTTCAGTAGCCCTCAAGCAGAGCCGATACAATAATAAATTAGTAATAGGTAAAACAAATAAGCCACAATAAGTTAAACAATATGGCTGCCAAGCCAGGATGTAGTCTGCTGTCTGCCTAGTTGAACGCCTTACTTAGTGTCTAACATATCAGTTAACAAACTACCTAACTAGTTATTATTATATGTAGATAGCTAGGTGAGTAAATGAAACTGAAATGATCGAAACATACCTATATATACAATTTCGTTAAAAGTCCTTAAGAAAGTACCTATCTGCGCAATGCAATGTATATTGGCAAAAACAGAACAGAAATACTAAAAATATAAATATACTAGATCGGTAGCTATCCCTATTTATGAATTGCGTTTGTAATCCTATAACCAATGAGTCACTTTCCTATGTTAAACTGATACCACTGAACTACCACATTATATATCAGTAACTACCACATTAATCACTAAGTAACGTATTGTATGAAGTTATTAATCAAATGTAATAATTGATTTAAACAACCAAACAAAATGGTATGCGAAACCTACCTGCACTTAAGGACTCCGGCTCCAAAGGGTTGATCAGTCTGATCCAATCCAAGCAATGATCTGCGTACAACTGGTCAAGTCAACTGGCGCAATGCAATGCAGTATTCGAGCCACGACAATAACATCTCATGGTGTGTATGATTAGTGATGTGACATGTCAAAGACGATAATTTTTTTTCGTAATTTCGTCCTTAGCTATGGATTAATTCTCAACATTGACCTATCTACCAGATTTTAGAGTGATATTGTACCGTTACCTATTGGTATCAAAACCAGCCGAAAATGATGAATTTCAATAAGGTGACTTAGATACCGTACCTATATATTTTTGGTCTAAATTGGTAACTATTTACAAACAGTTAATAATAACTGTCTGTCTATCTGTCATAAGCACTCATTGTTTTTGGTTGAACTTGGCCGATTTAAAAGAAATAAAAAACATTATATATTTTTGTAAAAAAAAATTAGGGCATGATGTGAAACTCATCATAAGAACTTCAGCAAGTTTTCACTCGGTAGGTAGTAGATGATTTCTTAGATGAACAGAATACTTTACAATACAAGCTATCATATTAAGTATTTCTTATAATTAAATTAATTCACAAAGAAAGGTCATACTAAGTTGAAAAACAGTGTGTCTTAAGCTAAAGACTTATTTCATATATACGTAAGCTGATACCAGTACTAGCAGAGTATCATTTACTCGAATTATTTACCAAACTCCCTACGTAATATATCAATCACTACTGACTTTTCCTACGGCTTGATCGGAGGGATACCATGGCCTAACAAAAAACCGGTGTAAAGTAATACTTACGTTGTGTTTCGCCATGTGAGTGAGGTTACTGTCTATGTCTTCCCATTCCCAATCTCCCCAATCCCAAAATTCCTAACCCCAAAAGGCCAACAACGTACTTGTAATTTCTCTGGATTTGGGCACGTCCAGAGGCGGTGCTAATTGCTAATCAGCTCATATACCCTATAAACACTACTTTGTGGTGTATTGCACCGACATGCCAAAAATGATCTATTAGATTATTACAATATTCTAGCATTAAATTGAAATCAATGTCATTCTCAAATTAAAATTAATAATTTCGATAAAAGACGAGCCATTGTTTATGTCACATCACTAGCTTACGACGCATTATCGAATCGTCACCTAACGGTACGATACGGTTAAACCCCTACTAATCGTACATCTAAATGAGAATGTTGCCAGACTTCATAATATTCTATCTACTAATCTTGTTCACAAGCAAATAAGTAATTTGTGATTAAATCATATATAATATTGTTATTTACGAAATCTTCGATTATTATATAAGTGTGAATATTTATTCAACTATTTGCTTTGTGCGCAGTGAACTATAAATCTTTAACTAATAAACTAAAACAAAACAAGTAAACCATTATTTGACAGTGGGCATTTGACATTGACACTGACTTTCCCATACACTTCTTTGCACTGACTTGACAGAACCAAGAAAATAGTTACGAGATTAATTTTGTTGTTTGTTCGATTCAACATAGTTTTATATTTTGTTTTTTAATAGAGCAATGAAATAAAAGACTAATATTAAACATAACGTAATCAAGATTTAATAGTTCTCACAAACAAATTTATACTCACTGTTTGATATAATGCAGGTCGAATTAATGACCTGCCGATGAACAAAAGAAAACAAACAGATTTTAACTGTGTTAACATAAATCTCCATTTTTTTATGATATTTCTACAATGAACCCAACAACCAGTTACTGTCGCCTCTGCGCTGAATTAAAATTACGCGACAAACTATACTCGGAATTTTAATTCGATTCCAGATTTGACAATTTCAGTGTTGCAACGTTATGACAAGTACTAAATAGTGACGTTGCGAAATTATTCGATATGTTAATGCATTATTTCTGGATCGATTCTTCTTGTTTATAATTTTACTCTTGTAAACTAAGTATATCAGGAAATAAAATATTTCTGAACCGATAATTTAGTTTTGACGATTAATTAACGATCTAAGACTTTTCTTTTATAATTGTGTGTGAAATAAATAAAAAAATGTAACCATAAAGGAACATGACAAATAAAACAGATAGATGTATTATGGTAATAAGTTATTTTATAAATTGTCGCCGTCATCGCTATCGCTATCCTGTCACTTTCTGTAACATTTATTATAAAACACACACACTGATTGTTTATCGATTTTTGTGTTCATCACTACATTATTATATGTGGTATCATTATTTCACAAAATGACAGTAGCTATTGTCAAATCTGGAATCTAATTAAAATTCTGACTATAGTAAACTTGCAGATCGACAAGGAGTTATGTCAAAAAGTTATCAATAAATTGTCAAGGTTCCATATAACAATAGATTTCCAGGATAATGTACTACCTAAAACCGTGTGCCTCCTCTGCATTAAGTCTTTAGAACAAGCATTCAAGTTTATCTGTGCAGTCAATGAGGCACAGGCTTTTCTAAGTGATTTTGTGATGGTAAAATGTACTGAAAGAGATTTGGTCGATAATGTTGTCTCTTGTGAACTAGTTGACTGTGTTCCTAAACCTTTAGATAGTGCGCAGGATCCTATGGAAATAGGTGTTGAAGATAGTTTTACAAATGACCAAGTTAAATGTGAAAACAATAGTAGTAGTGATGACTGTAATTTTTATGAGGATAAAGGATTTGATTCTGTTATGATAAAAACATATTTAAAAATTGATCCCACTGTTAGTGAGCCTGTTCATATTGAGCCAAATAAACCAATGTTTAACATTCTAGATAATTTTGCTAATAATACAAACTCAACTACTACTTTACATGAAGATAAAGATACTAAAAATTATGATGATCATGTTATATGCCAAGTTGTAAAAATTGAAAACTTTGATAGTCAATGCAGTGAAATGATCGAAGAAAAACATAGTACCATCCAAGGAAAAAAAAGTAAAAAAATTAAAACAAAAATATCACCAAGGAAATCTACTGAAGTAAACAGTGGTGCAAACACCGAAACCTATTCAGAAAATGATGTGAATGAATTAATTGAAAACTTAGGCTATGTCCCTGAACAGTACATTACAAAGACCTGGCAGGATTACCTCTGGCAATGTTCTCATTGTGAAACTCAATTCACAACTATGGAGAACCTCCAGAAACACTCCATGGAGTTCCATAATAGCTGTAACTCTTATAAATGTGCTGATTGTACCACTCGGAGTTCAAATCTTAAATTTTTCTTGAAACATGTTCGGAAACATCATAAATATTTGCACTACTCCTGCTACAAGTGTTACAGGATATTTCCAAATGTGGCCGACACAGGAAAACACAAAGCTAGAATTCACAAGTACCGCAACATGTGCCTTGGGTGCCACAATAGCTTTCCCACTAAAGAACAATTAAAAGAACATACAGAAAAATATTACAAAAAGCTGTTTGACTCAAAAAAGTATAACAATTTGAGAACAGATAATTCCACATGTAGAATATGCCACAAACATTTTAATAGTTACTCAAGCTACAAGCATCATTTCATAACTCAACATACGGAGGGAAGCAACAATGTGTGTGATATATGCGGCAAAAGTTTTAAAAGCAAATCAGTTTTTAATAATCATGTCGCTATACATAAAAATCGGGATACATTCCAGTGTGAGATTTGTAAATTGCATTTAAAAAGTCGGCATGGTCTAAGATATCATATGGAACTCCACACTGGAATCAAGCCATTTGCTTGTGATATCTGCGGAAAAAGATTTCGAGCGAAAAGTCAAATTCGAAACCACCTTATCATCCACACTGATCAATTTCCGTATGCCTGCACTGTATGCGATAAAAAGTTTCGTAATAATTCAAATCGCAAAAACCATATGCTACAGCATAGTGGCGCGAAACCACATTCGTGTAATATTTGTTTTAGAGACTTTGCGAACCTTGCCAATCGTAACAAACACGTGAGACGGAAACATGGTGTTGAATTGGCAAAGAGGAGACGTCATGAGACCAACCAAGTGAAAGTGACTAGAGAAACACCAGAAGCACAAAATATTCAAAACCAAATAGATGATATTCATCGTAACGATCTCTCTGAGCCTTAGGTGAAATACCACCGAAATTCCAACCTCAATAGAGTTATTTTAATGAAAATTATTCCGGTACCAATTTATACAAAATTTTTTGGCGGGGATTGAACCCGAGACTTCAGACTTCATTCCAGTCTTGTAAACCAATGAGGTGTCCGAATCCGTTTCCGTTTCATCAATTATTTTGTTTAAAATACACAAAATGTGAGAAATAAAATTAATTTGTGCAAGTGCTGTTTTATTGAACACATCGATTGACATGACGGAAATGACAAAAAAATAAGATAGGGCGATATAGTCATCGGGAAGGTCAAAGGGGAAATCTGTCTGCGAAGGGAAGGAAGGGAAAGTCCGACAGATTGTCAGTGTTGTCACAATAAAATAATTAAAATATTAAAACTAACGTAATTCTTGAATCTTACCATTACTTTTTAAGTTAAATTCTTATAGAATAATTACTAGTTCTACAGTTATGTTGTTGTGGGTAAGAATGAGGGAACGGCAAAGTAGTAAAGTAACCCGTATTTGTACAATGACATAATGATAATGAATAATTTTTGGGTCTTGTAGCAAACTTCTAGAAGGGTATTAGATGGAACATTTTAAAATAAAACTGAGTTCAAAAATCACCTAAGATGTTTTTTAATTAATTGAAGTTAATAAACAGACTTGTGAATAAAAAACTAAACTTAGGAAGCTTGTAAAGTTTTGTAGGTATTTAAATTTAATAGAGTGGAAAATACAACAAAATCCGTTTTATATCACTAGAAGCCATAACATGTTAGTGCTAGAAGCACAACAAAAATTGTTATATCGAGCACAGACTTAAAATTTATTGTAGGTTTATGATTTTGAGTTATAGGAAACATTTTGGTAAATATTTTCATTTTAACAAAAATAATCATTTAAGTGACCAACTAAACTTAAGTAAACCTTTTGAAGTAAAAGGTAAAAATTGAGTCGGTCCATGCGCCAAACATCTGTAGAGTCGAACTTGCCGTACAATGTAAAAAAAACCGTGTATTGGCTATGTGCAAAGCGAGTTTTAGTGGCGGACAGATAACGACCGCAGCGCACAACACGGCAGAAATTGGAAACAAATGCGGATGATGCAAACCCGGTATTTATTATTATATTCATTTTACAGAAAACTATTGAATAAATTGCACTTAAATAATGTCAACAATACTATTTCAATCTTTGGTCTTATTTATATTTGAAAAGAAAATTACCTATAATGTTTACATTGTTATTATTTGATAGCTTCCGCAAATGCAAACGCTACGCGTCGCCACCATCGCGCACATAGCCAATAATAGAAAACGATCTCGGTCTACAAAAAAACATTGCTTTTGCTTATGGCTTACTGTCATTGATGTGTCAAAGTGTCAATGGCATTCTCATTCGTTCGTCTGTCAATGTCATTTGATAATTTGTATCCGCGTCCGCGTGAGTAAACGCTCCGATTAGTGAAATATTTTATGGTTATTTTTATTTATGCTGGCTTTAGAAACCTGCTAAAATGGAAAATATGGATACAGAAGATGACAATCAGGAGATAGGCCCCGTAGATAATGCGTGGGCTATGAAAATACCGAAATTTACACCTGAAGATAACCCACATGGTCTTTTGGAGGAAAGTAAATTTGCTACTTTATTTCCAAAGTACAGAGAGCAGTACTTAAAAGAATGTTGGCCTCTTGTGCAAAAGGTATTAAAAGAACATCATATAGTCGCTGAGCTAGACCTTATCGAAGGCAGTATAACTGTGAAAACAACAAGGAAAACATGGGACCCATACATCATCATCAAAGCAAGAGATTTAATGAAACTGCTGTCTCGAAGCGTTCCGTTTGAACAAGCTGTGCGAGTCTTAGAAGATGAAATAGGATGTGATATCATAAAAATCAATTCATTTGTTCGTAAAAAGGAAACATTTTTGAAGAGGAGGCAGCGTTTGATTGGGCCGAATGGAGTAACCTTGAAGTCTATAGAACTTTTAACAGAGTGCTATGTGCTAGTGCAAGGAAATACAGTTTCAGCTGTAGGGCCATATAAAGGTCTAGTGCAAGTCAGGAGAATTGTTGAGGACACAATGAAAAACATTCATCCAATGTACAATATTAAAAGTTTAATGATCAAAAGAGAACTAATGAAGGATCCTCGATTAAAGAATGAGAGTTGGGATAGGTTTTTACCGACATTTAAAAGTAAAAATGTGCCAAGAAAACAGCCTAAAAAGAAAGTTGAGAAGAAACCATACACTCCATTCCCGCCACCACAACAGGAAAGTAAAATTGATCGTGAACTTGCTACTGGAGAATACTTCCTTAAAGATGAACAGAAGAAGGCCAAGAATAGACATCAAAAAGAAGAAAAGCAAGCGCAAGCTAAGAGAGCTAAACAAGAACAACGACAGAAAGATTTCATCCCTCCTGAAGAGAAAACAAATACTAATAGTGATACTCCTGACACTACTATTGATATTAATCAGTTTAAATCCAAAATGAAAAAACTATCTAAACAACAAAAAGGAGCTAAAGTAAAAAAGGATTGAGTTTAATGTGTATTCAGTTCTATTGGTTCGTGCTACAGATAAATATTCTCACCTTCAGAATGGAATTGATTGATTCCAATAACTACTCCCTACTATCGGGACCTGCATCCCAATCCCAAATATTTAGAACAAATCTGTCTCGAAAATGAAAGTAAAATAAAATTACTAGTTATAGTATATTTGTTATTTGAATTATGTTATTTTTAAAGTTGAACTTTACCAATTTCCAATAACTTTTTAAAGTTGTTTTGACAGAAATAAATGATTGAAATATGTAATTTATCTTTTTATTTTCATAAGTTTTAGTTCAGGTACACTATTGTTTTTAACTATGTACTTTCTTCCATTCATGTAGGGCTGTAATACTTCAGGTATGTAGATTTTTCCTTTAGGATCTTGATGGGTTTCTAGTAAAGCTATCAGCATCCTTGGCACTGCACAAGCAGTACCATTCAGTGTATGTGCATAGTCATCTACACCATTGTGAACATATTTGATGTGTAACCTTCTTGCCTGATAATCAGTACAGTTACTGCAACTAGATATTTCGCCATAATTTTTTCGGCCTGGCATCCATGCTTCTATGTCATATTTTCTGTAACGTAAATATTAAGAGAATTATTTAAACCCTAGGTGTGCCAGAATGCAGATCTATGCAAGACTCAATGTTTTCTATTGTTTCTCTCATACCGGCAGCCGAAAGGTTAAATACTTATGAGACAAATATTTCAATCCTTCACATATTTATTTATTTTTTAAAAAGTTACCCTAGACCAGGATTTTCTCCTGTGTTGATGGGATAAGCCGGTAAATGAGCGGACGGATCACCTGATGGTAAGCAATCGGCGTCGCCTATGGACCTGGAACACCAGAGGCGTTACAAGTACGTTATTGGCTTTTTAGGATTAGGAATTTGAGGATTGTTGGGGGACTCAGGGATTTGGGTAAGGGGGAGGGGTAATTGGGCCTCAAGTAACCTCAATCACAGTCTTTTGTGGAGGTTGTGGTACTACTCTCGAATCGAGTCGGCCCATTTATGCCAAAGCATGGCTCTCCCACGCTTACAAATAATTATAATTATTATACATACCTATAAGCAGGAGCACCTAATTCATGTGGAGGCATGTCGAGTACTTTCATACTGAATCCCAAAGGAGAAAACAATTCCTCTTGTGTTGTTCTCAAGTACTCAAGCATACTTTCTGACTGGCTTGGAGTGGTGACTGCAAACATTTCTACTTTGGTGAATTGATGTACTCTGTGAATAATTGATAAATAAAACACTTGTTTAAATGACTGGTAACAGAATGAGAAATTACATTGATATGATTTCATATCATTAGTATTTTAAAGCTGATGAGTTTGTTTGTCTGTTTGAATGTGCTAATCTCTGGAACTACTGTTGTCAGGGCCGGATTTAGGGGGGGCAACCGGGGCGAAAGCACCGGGGCCTCCACAATAGAGACTTCGGAAAAAAAATCTTTCAAATTTCAACTAGTAAACCTAGTAAACATCTTTTCCTTTGATATTTTTTTTTTTTCGCTTTTACCTTTACCTGCAGCCTAAAGTACTTTATACATACATGATTATTTGATTACATTAATTTTAAATATTAACAGAAACAGAAATCATTGATCTATATTTGTTCACTCCAATCAGGCAATCAGTGAAATATCAAAATCTCAAATGGCTCTGATAAGCACTTCCAATTTACTACCCATCTTGAGGGAGTACCCCAATGCACGCTGCAGCAGAGGCATTGGTGAAAGTGTATACGGATGATTTAGAGCCTAGTCTTGGTAATAAGTTGGTTCAATTTGTGACTTTGATTGATTCATACAAAAAGGACTATGGAAAAGATCAATCGCCGGAACTATTTTACTACCGAATTCTCGAAGATCAAAATTTCAGAGCTACATTCCCAAACCTCGAAATTGCATTGAGAATGTATTTGGTTTTGATGGTATCAAATTGCACTGGAGAGCGCTCATTTTCAAAAATGAAAATTATAAAAAATAGGCTTCGAACCACGATGGGACAAAACCGACTATCAAAGCTTTCTCTCCTGAGCTCCAGTTCTCGGAGTAAATCGCTTTCAATAAGCGATTTACTCCTCTGGATAACTTATTAACTGGATTTCAGCGAACTCATCAACGATTTTTCGGCAAAAAAAGCTCGAAAGGTTCCGTTCGTTAACACTAAAATTTAATTTCAAATAATTCTTGTTTCCGATTATATTTATGTGTTTGTTAAATACTAAGAGAATCGACTCGGTTTCACTTATTGTGAAACCAAGTCGATTCTCTTCATTATTTATTGAAAAACTCGACTGAAAAAAATTGTTTATTTTATTTGGAAAATAATTTGGGGCAAGGGGGCCTCCACTCCTTTGTTGCCCCGAGGCCTCTGGACCCCTAAATCCGGCCCTGACTGTTGTGAATTGAATAATTATTTTTGTGTTAGATAGTCCATTTATTGTGGAAGGTTATAAGCTTCACTCTCCAATCAATAAGAGCTGAGCAAAATATATCAAACAAACATTTTTTATAACTTGCAAAGTAAACATCTTTACATACCTGTAAATTCCTCTTTCCTCTATAACATTAGAAGTTTCGGCCCTAAAACATCTGCTCACTGCGGCCAGTTTCATAGGTAAATTCTTTTCAGAGTGCTTTGTATTCATCAACAGTCCTGCTAAAGACATTTCGGCCGTACCTGATAAGTATAAATCTGGCCCATGGTGGACTGGATCTAAAGAATATATCTTGAAACAGAAAAAAAATATTTTATTTTGACAATGCCACACCAAATTGATGAAGTATATGAAACAGCATACACATTAAGTATTCAATTGTCATCTCTATACAAAGTTCGGTAATAGGTTGGCACAAGAATGTATCTCATAAATTTTCATTAGGTGTTATACATAGACAGAAAAATATTTTAAATAGTAAATATCCACCTGTGTTCTGTCATTGTTTACTGTCATTCCACAGCTCTTCAGGACTTGACTAGGTAAAATATCTGGCACTGAAACCAGTTTGAAGTTTTCCTGAAGAAGCTTGTTTACAGTATATTTAATTAAAGCCTCCTCTAGCTCAGCAAGTTCTCCAAGAAAATAATAGCTCTTGTGTCCACATGTGTTTCCTAACTTGTCAGTCCTCACTAAGTTAAGCCGCCTTGTTATTTCACTGAATTCCAGTGGAGTGTGTTCTTGGAAATCTCTTTTTTGGTTTATTTCTCGTACAACATTTGGTTCAAGATTTTTCAAGACTGAAGGATGTGTTTTATTTGGCAAGCAACTTAATTCTTTGTACAATTTGTCTCGTACAGTTTCATAGGATGCATCGGTGATTGGAGTAGTTTTTAGTACTTTATACATTTCCATAACAAGTTTAATATCCCCTACCCCCTTCCTTAATTTTATATTGTTACCAATTTCCATAGCATTTTCAGTATTACAATAATAATTTGTATCAATATCCGGCACAAATGCAGTCGAACTCAACCTAATAAACTTTGATTTCAAAGTGGTAAGGTGCCGAAATAAAGGGTAAAATATCATTTTGCCCGAGAATATATCTAATTTGATTACTTTAATTTTACTACGCTCTGCAAAAGTACGTATTTTATTCAAGAATTAATAAAATCTAGACGTAAACGTGTTATCAGATCACAGATGTTTTGATGTGAAATTATCTGTCATTTTCTATTCGTCAGTTCATCGGTTCGTGTTTGACTTGACACTTGACAGTCTGACAGATTTCGGTTAAACGGTGCGTACGTACGTTGTAATCGATGTTCGATTTCTGAATTCCGAATCAACGACTAAATGCTGATCTTACTGTAGTTTTTTCTCAATGTTAGGTCTCTCTTCTCGGCATATAGTAAGTACTGCACTTGATGTTATTCACAGACACTGTCTAGGACTTAGGTCGGCTCCTAGTAAACCGATTTACGGATAGCAACGGACCTCACATTTACTGTAGTTATCTGTGGAGGAATGGAATCTATAACAATCTGACGATTGTGACTTGTCAACTTGTGACATTTGTGATTGTGACGGACGACGGTGTCGTGTGACATTAGTATTTAGTAATAAGATTTGGCGCCTTTTTTATTATTAAATCTTATTATTCATTGTTATTTGAGGTTTGAGTTGGATTTTGTCGATTTTTACTTCGTTCTCATATCTCTAACATGAACTATTAACTGTTGTGGCATAATTAGAAGTGTAACATTCAATATGCCGGTGTCAAATCGAAGTGTACTGAATTTGCAGAAGGATGCTCAGGGTTCATCCCGTTCATCTGCCGGTAAAAGTAAAACTCCCTCACCGTCGTAAGTACCATTGAACATCAGATTTAAATTGATTTTAATTAATGGCCTAAATCATAAAAGTTCAGGCAAATGACTTCATATTAGGTATCAATTATAAAAACATGTACTAGTTATTTTATGTACCTAATGATGCGATGTTAAAAAATGAAGGTATGCAAGTAACAGTTAATTTATATATTTTATTGATAATATTTACTTAAATCATACACACAATATGTAACTCGACTGTTATAATGTACCTACCTGAATAAAGTTTTACACTCCTGCATGTATCTAAACTACATTGTTAATACATAATGTCTCATACATATTGCAAACTCCACTACGTTTGAGTACCTTATTCAATTATCTTCATTTATTATTATAAGATATTTTTAAATTGAGTAAGTTTTCTCAAACTGGGGATCACAAAACTTAGACCTTATATAGTCATACACAACTCAATACCATATTAAGCACATAACATACTTAAAAAGGTAGTAAAATGAGGTATTGATGGATTTTTAAAATTTTCAGGACATCAAGAAGATCACCTCGTAGTAGTGGGAATCAGTTAAAAATTACTTCAATGTTTGCCACCAAAAGGATGCAGAGTCCAGAAGGATCTGGAATATGTAAACCAGTGAGTGTTAAATACCAATTGCTTTAATTTTAATCTAAAGGATAATATGCATCATTGATTTCATCATTCTTACTTCTTTATTATTATTATATATGCGAAATAGTGTTTGTTTTTCTCACAATGCTGTAGAGCATTTTTTGATACTATTTTTTAATCCATAGATAGTTAGAAGGCTAGAGAATAGTCTAGGCAACTTCTATTCTTAACTATGCAAGAAGGCTGGAGAGTAGTTTAAACAAGTCCTTTAATTATGCATGTGATGCTACAATGAACAGCTAGTATCTCCATATTATTATTATATTTATTGAAATATCTATACTGTGTGACAAATATGTGGTATGCTCCATTATTTTCATAAACTAGACCACGGACTTATTTCAAGTTACTTGAGCTAGCCCAGTTGTCCAATTTGACAAAAAGTTTCCATAAATAATTTTGTAGTTTTATCCTAAGAATGGAATCCAAGATAAAATTGACATATCAAGTTGTACAGTCTAAATGTTTTATTCTCTTGTATCAAATTCCATTTCGTTATAAATAATTATATTTATAAGTTTAGACTTAACTATAAATTATCTACTTGTGTGTATAAATAGGTAACATACTATTTCTTTTTTAGAAAAAACTGAAATATGATGAGTCTAAAGAGAGCAGTACTGATAGTATTACTGATGAAGATTATAGAAATGTCTCCTCTATAGAAACCGACTCTGCTAGTGAAACCTCTGATGTGAATAGAATGTGTGAACCAATCAATAACAATAATAATAACAACAATAACAATAACGACTTAAAGAAAGGAGACCATACTAATTCCAGTGATGAAATTGAAGGAGTATTAAAAATTGATGAAAATATAGAAAGTAAACACCAACTAGATATTGAAATGGATGAATATATAGAAACTAAACACCTACTAGATATTGAAATGGATGAATATATAGAAACTAAACACCAACTAGATATTAAAATGGATGAAAATGAAAACAATAATGTTATAGCGAAAACAAAACCAATTGTTCTTGACAATGAGAAATGTGAAACCTGTGGCCAATTTCTCAATAATTCAGATATAATTTTCTATCAAGGACACCCACAGAATTCAGTGGAAGAGTATATAGCATTGACTAATGAGAAACTTGTTCTAGCATCAGGTTAGTAATGTTATTCACCTTATTATATGAGTATTAACTTAAAATACTTCAATGAAGTATTGATATTTACATTAATTAAATTTAGACATCTATGTCTGTTGCGGAGAACCTAACAGGTTACTGGGGCTCCCACTCGAAGCGCAGGAGAAGGAAGGGGGTAGTTTTTAGTCAGTAAGACTCTGACAGTCCCTCCCGCCTCACGCAGGCAGGAGTAGCCGTTCAATGATTTTCCCCCCTTAAAAAAATACATCTATGTCTATAAGAAATTCTTAAGGAATGGGTGCAAAATGAGCATTTTAGAGTGAAAAGAAATAAATAATAAACTGGATAAATATGTTCAACCTAAGAGATATTTTAGTCTGCTTCATCATTCACAACTACCCTTTTGTTTGTATGCTGCTACCTGCCACCAGCTCATCTCTTATATCTCTCTCTCTCTTTTTCACTCTCTGTCTCTCTCTTTTTCTCTTTCTGTCTCTGTCTCTTTTTCTCTCTCTGTCTCTCTCTATTCTACCTTACTACTTAATATTTTAGTTAATGAAACACTGATATATTTTCAGGTGAAGAGGGTGATATAATGGAAAGACCACAAACCAATATAACCAGTTTCTGTATATTTGACGAGCAAGGCCACCTGGTACCAATTGATGGTGGTCTTGTTGAAAACGATGTGTGTATTTATATGTCAGGATACTTGAAGTCAATATGCACAGATTCACCGGAAATTGATGATGAATCGGTCCCTGTGAAAGATGTAGGCCCTATTATTGAATGGTGAGTAACATAAGTACAGGATTATTTTATGACATCTTGTTTTCATCGATTTTGTGTAAAAAAGAATACAATTTGCAAATTTTGTGCTACAGTTTAAACATATTATGAGTGATATTTCATTTGCTACAGGTTCATACATGGCTTTGACGGTGGTGAGAAAAACTGTATCACATTATCAACAGAATTTGGAGAATATAATTTATTGAAACCAAGTGAACAATACACACCTCTTATGAACAACCTCTATGAAAAGATATGGCTCAGCAAAATAGTCATAGAGTATTTGGAGGAGTATCATTATCTTCAACCTACATATGAGGATTTACTAGAACTGATCAGAGAGTGTACTATACCAGATTTGAATGACATGAGAATTACCGAGGAAATGCTTCACAAGCATGCACAGTTTGTGTGCGACCAAGTAGTCAGCTTAGAAGCAGACGAAGATGATGAACCACCACTTATAACTCTTCCGTGTATGAGGGAGTTAATTAAACTGATGGGCATAAAATTCGGCAAGCGTAAATTCCGCACTAAAATCGATTACAAAAAGATTGACAAAAAAGCTTGGACTAAAGCTACTACCACACCTCTTGTACGGAAAACTTTTGAAAGCTTTTTCACTAACCAATTAGATAAAACAAATCATGAGTTAGTGTTAAGAAGAAAGAGATGTGGAGTCTGTGAAGCTTGCCAGTTGCCTGATTGCGGCGAATGTAATGCGTGTCGGGCAATGGCTAAGTTCGGTGGACATGGACGCACTAAAAAAGCTTGTGTGCGACGATTTTGTCCTAACATGGCAGTAGAGCAGGCTGAAGATTCTGAACCAGATGATGAGGATGACTATCAACAAATGGCTGAGAAAAAACATCACGACAAGATAGAGGATGCAGTGCCTGTAAAGTTAACTGGGTCAAATAACAGGAAAATTAAATGGCTTGGTGAACCCACCAAGGCAGACACTACCAAAGTCTACTACGAAAAAGTTGAAATTGATGGCTCTGAACTTTGCAATGGTGACTTTGTAATGGTGGAAACTTCACAGTCAAATATTCCTGCTTTAGTTGCCAGAGTAGTGTACATGTGGAGGGAAACAATAAATTCTCAATCTGGTTATTTCCACGCAGAAGTGTTTATAAGAGCATCAGACACTGTCCTGGGTGAAGTGAGTGACCCCAGAGAAGTATTTTTAGGAGATAGATGTTGCCATGGCGCTCCACTCTCATCAATACTGCGTAAAGCTAGTGTAGAAAAAGGAGAAATTCCAGCTGATTGGTTTAGATTAGGTGGTAAGGAAATTGATGATAAGCATTTTGAGGATGATGGTAAAACATATTTTTACAATAAATATTATGAAAGATTCACTGCACGATTCGAGGATTTACCTGCAGATCCAAAATGTCCTAATCCCCTGAGACAGCACAGATTTTGTCCATCATGTGAAAGAAAAACTAGAAGGGATGCTAAGAATATACCAAAAGTTTTTGGGAAATTGTTGGAAAAATCCAGTGTTGTTACTGAATCTAATAGAACAGAATGGACACATGTGACATGGCAAGATTATGATTACAAGAAAGGTTGTAGTGTTTTTCTTAAACCAGGAACATTCAAACTAAAAAATAGTTTCAATAACAATGCAAATAACGTGAAACCAAAATTAGATAAAGTTGACGAAGACATATATCCCGAATATTACAGGAAGAGTGACAATAATTTACGTGGCTCAAATATAGACACGGGAGAACCATTTTGCATTGGTTATATTGCAGCTGTGACTGCCATTGGAGAAGGACCTTTGATTGTTCCACAAGATATTTATTTAAAAGTCAATGTCCTTTATAGACCTGAAAATACCACTAGTAGATTTCCACAGCACGAAGACCTCAATGTAGTCTACTGGAGTGACGAAATTCGCGATGTATCTTTTTCTGCAGTTGTAGGAGTATGTCAAGTATTCTATGAACAAAATATCCCTCTGCATTGTTCACTCACGGAGTGGCTTGAGAAAGACCCATGCAGGTTTTACTTTAGAATGGCTTTTGACAAATCATCCGGTCAGTTTGTAGATGTCCCACATAATGCTACGACTGTTGGACGCACATCTGATCGGAGCAAAGATAAGG